AGACTATAGACTAGACTATAGACTAGACTATAGACTAGACTATAGACTAGACTATAGACTAGACTATAGACTAGACTATAGACTAGACTATAGACTAGACTATAGACTAGACTATAGACTAGACTATAGACTAGACTATAGACTAGACTATAGACTAGACTATAGACTAGACTATAGACTAGACTATAGACTAGACTATAGACTAGACTATAGACTAGACTATAGACTAGACTATAGACTAGACTATAGACTAGACTATAGACTAGATTATAGACTAGACTATAGACTAGACTATAGACTAGACTATAGACTGGACTATAGACTAGACTATAGATTATAGAGTATAGTCGACGGACTAGACTGGACTATCGGCTGCACTATATACTAGACTATAGTTTGATTAATATGTAACTAAATTCAATAAGATAAGGGATTACTTACTAATCTGCTATTTATAAATATGAGAAATATGTGAAGACAAATATGATATTTGTCTCCATTGCATGATGGTCTCTGCAAGCTTTTAGCAAAGGCGCAAACCATTTAGGTGAGTTTGCAAGGTTTATTAGCTAATTATTAACGAAAGCTAATGAGTGTTTTAAAAATAAAAGGGTTTTTAATTACTTGTTATAAATTACAAAAAAATGAATGCATTTTCTAGACTATAGACAAGATTAAAGACTAAGCTATAGTCTATTCTACAGTCTAGACTATAGACTAGATTATAGACTAGACTATAGACTAGACTATAGACAAGACTATAGACTAGACTATAGACTAGACTATAGACCAGACTATAGACTAGACTATAGACTAGACTACAGACGAGACTATAGACTAGAGTATAGACTAAACTATAGACTAAACTATAGACTAGGCTATAGACTAGACTATTGATTAGTCTATAGACTAGACTATAGAGTAGATTATAGATTACAGAGTATAATCTACGGACTAGACTGGACTATAGGCTGCACTATATACTAGACTTTAGTTAAATATAATATAGATAAATAAAAATAAATCTATTATTATATAATCAAACCTAACCCTTATCAAACCTAACTCTAGACAACAACAATAAATAAATCGTATTTTGAATTATTATTACCGAATAGAATATTAAACACAATTTATAACAAGAAAAACCAGAGAGCAGAAATCTTTAAAAGTAATATGTAATAACAAACCAACAAAACAAATCAAAACCAATGAAACAATAAATAAAAACATTGCTTAGTCAAACTACTAATTTAAATAAAACAAAATAATTATTGCATACATAATGCGTACATAATTACTGCATAAAACATCAATCACAACAATAACAAACAAAAACAAAAGCAACCTTAAAAGACAGTAAACCTCCTTTTGCACAACAAACACTTTAAGGAACAACAAAAATCTTTAAACACAAACAATAACAAATCAAAACAAACAACAACCACACAGTACTAATAAAAAATCTTCAAACCAAATGAATAACAACAAACATTCACATGTGCTGCATAACTTAAAATAACAATAACAACCCTACCAAATCTTATGGAATGTAATGAGAGTAAGTAAAATACTCACCAGAATAACTATGACGTCACAATACTTTAACTACACAAACAAAAAACACTCCACACCATATACTTCAATAACATCACTACAAAAAAAACAACAACTCACTCACACCTTCTAACAGAGTTAATAAAATATACTAATTCATTGTGACGTCACACATTTTTACTCCCATAATAACAAATGCATGAGAATGCAAAACTAAACGAACAATCATTCATACATACCACACTTGTTAACAACAACAAACTTCAACAGCTTACGAAGTACATAAATCAAATACATACTACCACCAAAGTGACTTCACTCCCATAATAACAAATGCATGAGAATGCAAAACAAAAAAAAAAAACAAACAGAATCATTCATACATACATACCCCATTTGTTAACAACAACAAACTTCAGCACCTTACAAAGTAAATCAAATACGTACTACCACCAAAGTGACGTCACACCACACACTTTCATTCATACAAACACTTTGATAACCAACACTTGTTGCCTAAAATTTGCAATTACAAAATGGCGAACGAAAAAATTTGCATTGCACATTTCTTTTGTAGTTTTCACTTACAAAAACAAAACTTTCGCAAAAAATACCTTACTTTTCATAAACTACACGGCAAACACTTTATTTTTATGGAAAAATATTTTAATTTCCTCAATTAATTAACACTTTAATATAATTAACAAACTTCTTTAGTGCAGCGGCACCCCCTTACTACGAACTTAACTCACCGACGTTCGATTAATAACTAAAGAAAAGGGATTTCTTACTAATCTGATATTTATTAATGAGACAACTGTTGCATTTGTCTCCTTTGCATAATCGTCTCTGCTAGCTTTTAGCAAAGACACGAACCATTGAAGTTTGCAAGGTGTATTAGCTAATTATTTACAAACGTTAAATGTTTTTAATTACGTTTTTTTAATTACACAAGTGTAATTAAAAAAAATAATTATACTAGACTATAGACTAGACTGCTGACTAGACTGTTGACTAGACTATAGACTAGACTATAGACTAGACTATAGACTAGACTATAGACTAGACTATAGACTAGACTATAGACTAGACTATAGACTAGACTATAGACTAGACTATAGACTAGACTATGGACTAGACTATAGACTAGACTGCTGACTAGACTGTTGACTAGACTATAGACTAGACTATAGACTAGACTATAGACTAGACTATAGACTAGACTATAGACTAGACTATAGACTAGACTATAGACTAGACTATAGACTAGACTATAGACTAGACTAGACTATAGACTAGACTAGACTATAGACTAGACTATAGACTAGACTATAGACTAGACTATAGACTAGACTATAGACTAGACTATAGACTAGACTATAGACTAGACTATAGACTAGACTATAGACTAGACTATAGACTAGACTATAGACTAGACTATAGACTAGACTATAGACTAGACTATAGACTAGACTATAGACTAGACTATAGACTAGACTATAGACTAGACTATAGACTAGACTATAGACTAGACTATAGACTAGACTATAGACTAGACTATAGACTAGACTAGACTAGACTAGACTAGACTAGACTAGACTATAGACTAGACTAGACTAGACTAGACTAGACTAGACTAGACTAGACTAGACTAGACTAGACTAGACTAGACTAGACTAGACTAGACTAGACTAGACTAGACTATAGACTAGACTAGACTATAGACTATAGACTAGACTAGACTATAGACTATAGACTAGACTATAGACTATAGACTATAGACTAGACTATAGACTATAGACTAGACTATAGACTAGACTATAGACTAGACTAGACTATAGACTAGACTATAGACTAGACTATAGACTAGACTATAGACTAGACTATAGACTAGACTATAGACTAGACTATAGACTAGACTATAGACTAGACTATAGACTAGACTATAGACTAGACTATAGACTAGACTATAGACTAGACTATAGACTAGACTATAGACTAGACTATAGACTAGACTATAGACTAGACTATAGACTAGACTATAGACTAGACTATAGACTAGACTATAGACTAGACTATAGACTAGACTATAGACTAGACTATAGACTAGACTATAGACTAGACTATAGACTAGACTATAGACTAGACTATAGACTAGACTATAGACTAGACTATAGACTAGACTATAGACTAGACTATAGACTAGACTATAGACTAGACTATAGACTAGACTATAGACTAGACTATAGACTAGACTTAGACTAGACTATAGACTAGACTATAGACTAGACTAGACTAGACTAGACTAGACTAGACTAGACTAGACTAGACTAGACTAGACTATAGACTAGACTAGACTATAGACTAGACTAGACTATAGACTAGACTATAGACTATAGACTAGACTAGACTATAGACTATAGACTATAGACTATAGACTATAGACTAGACTAGACTATAGACTAGACTATAGACTAGACTATAGACTAGACTATAGACTAGACTATAGACTAGACTATAGACTAGACTATAGACTAGACTATAGACTAGACTATAGACTAGACTATAGACTAGACTATAGACTAGACTATAGACTAGACTATAGACTAGACTATAGACTAGACTATAGACTAGACTATAGACTAGACTATAGACTAGACTATAGACTAGACTATAGACTAGACTATAGACTAGACTATAGACTAGACTATAGACTAGACTATAGACTAGACTATAGACTAGACTATAGACTAGACTATAGACTAGACTATAGACTAGACTATAGACTAGACTATAGACTAGACTATAGACTAGACTATAGACTAGACTATAGACTAGACTATAGACTAGACTATAGACTAGACTATAGACTAGACTATAGACTAGACTATAGACTAGACTATAGACTAAGACTATAGACTAGACTAGAGACTAGACTAATAGACGAGACGATAGAACTAGACTATAGACTAGACTATAACTAGACTATAGACTAGACTATAGACTAGACTATAGACTAGACTATAGACTAGACTATAGACTAGACTATAGACTAGACTATAGACAAACTATAAGACTAGACTATAGACTAGACTAATGACTAGACTATAGACTAGAACTATATGACTAGACCTATCGACTAACTATAGACTAGACATAAGCTAGACTATAGACTAGACTAATAGACTAGACTATTAGACTAGACTATAGACTAGACTATAGACTAGACTATAGACGAGACTATAGACGAGACATAGACTAGACTATAGACTAGACTATAGACTAGACTATAGACTAGACTAAAATAGAAAACTTAGACTATAGACTAGACTATAGACTAGACTATAGATTAGACTATAGACTAGACTATAGACTAGACGAGAGACTAGACTATAGACTAGACTATAGACTAGACTATACAGGTCGCGAAATTGTAGTGTAGTGGTTGTATATGTTTGGTATGGTATAACCATACCAAAACAAAATAAAAGAAACTAGTGTTGCCAGAGTGGTAGCGGCGCTGGTATGCTCGCGTTCGCCGGGCTTGGAGCTCGCCGGATGGGGGTGGTTCTTGCTACCACTCTAGACACCTACACACACACATAAAAATCATACCAGCTAAAAGAAATAAACGAAATAAATATAAATGGGCACCGAGTAGGTTTCTGTCTGTCTCCCTGCTGAAACGTACCTACGACCTATAACGGCTGGCAGATGTTGTGCCAGTATAAACCCTCCCACTCGGGAGTGGATAACCCCGCCATGACATCCTAATATTAGGGATGTCCCAAAATTTTATCCTGCAAACATTCACCTTCCCTACTTACCGCCGCTTATGTTATTTAACCGATCATTTTAAATGATAACTAATTCGAAATTTTCAGTCAAACATTATAATAAGGTTTAGTTTTATTGAAACAAAATTACTCCAAACAATATTTAACAATACTAGGTTTTGATTTAAAATTTAGTTTAGATTTAGTTTTAATATTTTGAATTTAGATTTAGTTTTAGGTTAAGATTTAGGTTTTAAAATTTAGAATTTAAAATTTAAATTTAGATTTAGCTTTAGTTTAAGATTTAAGTTTTAAATTTATGTTTTAGAATTTAAAATTTAGATTTAGTTTTAGATTTTGATTTAGGTTTAAATTTATATTTTCAAATTTTACGTTTACGTTTTTTAAAAGTTCCTGATTTCGCTTGGGGATAAACGGGATTTGGCAATTATTTCGCTGCGGCAACTGACTGGTTTACTGGAGGCAATTACAGGTTGAGAAGAGTTCTTTTGGCGGAGAAGGCTTTCCTGTCCGTCCGTATTAAGGTCCGTTCGGGTAAACCAGGTAAGTAAACAAAATATTATCTATTTTTACCTTATTCCTTTAATTTATTTTCTTTATTTATTTTCAGGGAAACTACCTTTATTACCGGAAACCTAGGACTCAAACACCGAAAACTACTATAATTCTAGGCCAGAGCTCTACCCTAATGTTCGCGCACGCGTGGTTGAAATGAGGATTTCACGCGGGATGGCGGCGGTCAAGCAATACGAGGTAAGGATTCCTCAAGAATAAAGATATCTTGCCCTAACTAATAAAATTTTTTTTATATAAAGAAAAGGAATATTGTACGTCCGTCTTGTCGTCCAGGTAAAAACTATCACTTAGTCGGAAAACCAAAAACTGATACCAGAGCACCCCAGGCGTGGTGGTGCTGAAAAGCAGCTTCTCCCTCGTTGGATGGAGTCGTGTTGCAGTGGCTTGCAGGTTTGTTTATTTTTCTTTTATTTTTATATTTTAAAATTTAGTTTTAAGTTTAGCTTTAAGCTTAGCTTTAAGTTTAGCGTTAAGTTTAAATTCTTTAATAAAATTTATTTAGTTTAAAAAATCAAAAATTTAGTTTTTTTTTTTATGATGGCCACAGACTCCACCTTCTTCTTCTCTCCGAGCAAAAATCAAAAAGGACCGACATTTTTTCCTTTTGGCATCTAGAAACCTCGGTTACCAATATGGCTTCAACAAATTTTCAGCAATTTGTTTGCCTACATAAAATTTTTTCCTAAAGCTATTTGTTTTTGTTTTTATTCATCTTCTTCTTTCCAAAAAAAAAAATCCCTTTTTCATTGTGTTGCCACCTGTTTAAGTTTCTTCTTCTTCTATTCAGTAGCTCTATTACAGGGTGCACACGACAAACCCCACCACTCCTGTTATCCATCCCTGGATACAGGATGGGAGGGAAAAAAAAAGCACCCTAATATTTCTGAACTACCCTAATGTCCTAAAACTTTTCTGGGATTTTGGGTATTTCATTATTCCCATACAAAAAATTTGCACTATGGCAACCCTTATTCATTCGAGAACAAAAGTACAACTCTGTACCGCCGTTAAAAACTGGCCAGGCGGCGACGTACTGTGAACAGCTGCTTGAATGAATGGAAGAGGAGGAGGCAAATAAGAAAAATACTACGCGTGGGTGAAGAAGAAGCCCCAAACAAAAAAATATCAATGGATACAACGAGGTAAGTAATTTTTTTGTTAATAAACAATAAAATAATAAAAGTATTAATTTAAATAGTTTAAAACAATATAATAATTGTTTCTTTACAGGTTCTGGTGGATTTCTATGGCCGAATAAGGGGATTTTAAATAAGGTAAGTAACAAAAACATAGTGATAGAAAAATTTATTAGTGGTGTTGTTAACTAACACAACCAAATTTTTTCTTTTCTTTACAGGGATCATGTTGGCTGCCTTGGGCCTATATAAAAAAACTTGATGGCCGATTCTGAAAGATGGCGGATCGAAGCAGAATGAAATGGTAAGTAAAAAAAAAAAAAAATGTGGAAATTATTATAAATATTTATATAAAATTTTCTAATAATTTTGTTTTAAATTTTTCAGGTTTTGTTCCAGATGGGCCGGTGGACTAGGCATTAAGGTGGTTCCGGAAATTTAAGGTAAGTGTAATGGATTATATTTGAAATATAAAAAGTGGACTTTAGTGAAAATTAAAATGTGGTTCGGTGCATAAAAAAAAAATTTTGGTTACAGTGTACGTCAAAAGTGTGAGTGCCGTGTAAAAAAAATTTAATCGAATAAAATAAAAAAAATTTTTATAAATTTAAAATAATTTCGGTTCGGGTTTTGGAAAAAGTGAATTCGGGTAAAAAAAAATTATTTTGGAATTTACAGTGCGTGTAAAAAGTGTTCGGACAAAAAAAATTAATTTAATGAAAAAAAGTTGGAAAAAGAAAATTGTTTAAGAAATTAGAGTGGTTCTGAAAAGTGACAAAAAAAAATTAAAATTTAAATTTGGAAGATACAGTGAGAACAAAAAGTGAAGTGACAGTGAAATATTTTTTTTTTTCAAATACAGTGGGTGTAAAAAAACGTGAAAATTTTTAGTGACTGGATCTAATAAGCGAGACCAACGGAAACTAAAGTTTGAAAATTTACAGTGGCCATCAGAATTTGTGAATCAGTTAAATTTAAAACAAAATTATTTGTGTGAACAAAAATGAAGTGAACCGTGACCAAAACCTTTTGTAACCAAAACAAAAGAAAAATTAATAAAGAAAACTCTAAAAAATCAAACCAATCCCAAATGGATAAAATAAAAGAAAAGTGAAAATAAAATTATTTCTCCCATTAAAATATCTTTTTGCTTTAATTCAAAATTAATAATTTTATAAATTTTCTTTTACTTTCAGCTAATAAAATTCAATTGGACCTGGGATTTGGCCTTGGTTACTGCTTCCGTTCAGGAAAGGTAAGTAATAAACCTAAAACTAAATAATATAAAATGAAACATAATTTCACTTGTATTAAGTTTTTTCTTTATATTCACGACTTAATCGCAAGAATTTGGTAGAAATGTATGGACTAAGTTCACCAAAGCTCATAGACTAACGTCTAGAGACTTTGGCGATAAATACCCCTTACAATTTCTCCGGAAATAAAAGTAAAAATATTCAAAAATAAAATTATTTTGAAAAAAAAAGAAAAATATATATATAAAGTGTAATTTTCTAAAAGGAATAATAAATAAAAATGATTTGATCTTAGCTTGGAATTCATTTTGTCCTTTTAGAAGATTACAAAAAGCTAGGTTAAATTAATTCAACTAATTATATTTTATTTCTCTTCCACAGGTTATAAATTCAGATTGGACCTGGACCGGAAGCTTGAATGCGGTATATGAACCCAATTATTATTCTAAAAACGTAAGTACTAACTAATACTGAACTTATCTAAATCAAATGATTAGATATTGAAAATGACTTGTAGCATCAAAATTTACTTTAGACCAAATACTAATCGTTTTGTTTTTCCTTTCACAGGTTTTAATCATCAAATTTTGGTTCCTGAAGAAAATCAACAATACCAGCCCACTGAGGAAAAAGTTCCTATCAGCGAGTGTAATACTGGTGAGTGAAAAATTTAAGTTACCTATACTAACATCTAATTTTACGTTATTCTGGTTAGTCTAACAGTAGATTTAGTATTTAAATTAGATTTAAAAACAAACTATAGATATATATTGCCTTATTTCTTGATCGTTAAGATCATAATGTTTTCCATTAGAAAAAAAACTATTTTGCCAGGAATAGTTCGTGTTGTGAGAACAACATTCCGTAGTGATAGATTTCCCTGTTAACGAGTAATTCACGTGTTTCTACCCGAAACGCTTGTTGGATACTCGTCGCAGCTTTGCTCCCAGACAATTCAAATTGCCAAATTTTAGTCAGCGCTTAGATGACTAATAATTCCTAACCCTGAGCGCATGGTTCCAAAGGGTGCTATGACGGAATTGCATCTATGACTAGCGTCTGACGATCACAACGTGGTCATAAACGAAAATTAATATATTTAGTCTGGTTGAGCACTCGGCGAACTACTCGCTAACGGGCAAACTATCACGACTGTTTACTGTTCCACAACACAAATGAACTTCCCTGGTCGTAGGCTTTCACTAAAAAAGAAACAAAGTGTTAAATATAATCAAGGCAAAATATCATTAACAAAATGTTTTGTGTAGAAAGTATCTACTAACTCATTTATACAAAATACAGAAAATAAAATAGGTTTTATCATTTTGGTTCGAGCTAGGAGTAGGTATAATCGTTGGGACTAGAACCACCAAAGATGTTGAAACTATTGTTTCAAATCTTTGGCATGAAATACCCCCAACGATTTTCCTTGAAGGTCTTCAACCTCGTATAGGCTATTTCCAATAGGTCTGACAATTCGGCATTTTAAAAATTTCTTGGCTAGTTTAGCATTAAAATTATTTTTGAAATCGCTTTGCTGAAAGTTGCGGCGATAAACCTCTTGGCCTGGTACAAACTTGACTTGACGGCAACGGGTATTGTATGTCTTCTCGTTTTTCAAATATGCTTTGTGCAGATTCTCACGAATTTTGTGCCGTACTAAGTCCATTTTTACGGGTTTTGGTACTATGTCGATTTCCGGATCATGAAGACATTGTAGTTTCTTAGCAAGCTTATATACACTTCCGTGCGAAATCATGTTCATACCGAACAGTGCGAAGTACGGCGTAACTCCAATAGACGTTTGGACTGACGACCGCAGCGAAAACTCAATTTCGGACAGGTACTTATCCCACTCAGTGTGGTCCTCCTGCAGGTAGGAACGAATTGCGGACAGGATGGACTGGTTAACCCGTTCCGAAGCGTTGGCTTGTGGCGAGTGCGTGGCAGTTTTTACATGCTTTACGCCAAAATTCGTTACCATATCCTGAAACTCTTTACTAATAAACTGCTTGCCATTATCGGACAAAATCGTCTCAGGTGTACCAAATTTGTGGAACACTTCGGATATTAGAAACTTGATGACGTTTTTCGTGTTAGCTTTGGGCATAGCTTTGAGCAGTACATATTTCGTTAGGTGGTCTAGGACGATGAATATGTAAGCGTTTCCGTTTCTTGACCGTGGATAAGGCCCCAAAAAGTCTATAAAGATCTTCTGGAACGGTCGTTCCGTTGTAGATTCAGCTCCCATTGGTGGTCTTAGGATCGAATTCGCGGGTTTTGTCTCGCGACAGGTTTGGCAATTGGCCACAAATGATCGGACCTGAACATTCTGGTTGGGCCAGTAGAAATATTCCCTTAACCTTCGGAGCGTTTTACCAAAACCTCCATGAGCGGCTTGAGGCGGATTGTGGCACTTCGCAATTACTTCTTGAGTAAGCTCTAGTGGAACCCATAACTTCCAGGCAAAATCTTCGTTTAACGGCACCCCGTCATATGGGAGGACCCGCTTGTAAACCAGATCATCCACGACCTTCAAATCTGGCAGGCTTTCAGCGTTTTCCTTGATTTTGGCGATTAAGTCCAGGTAACTTTGACCTTTGAAATACTCAGACTCTAAATCTATTAAATTATTTACCTCCACAGATACTTCCTCCATGTCATACCTCGACAAGGTGTCGGGAACGATATTTTTGGATCCGGGCCGGTGTTCGATGGTAAAGGTAAAGGCCTGTAAATGTAAGCTCCATCGGGCTAGTCTGCCACTGAGGTCTTTGTGGGACATAAGCCATTTTAGGCTGCTATGGTCCGTGATGACTGTAAATGGCAAAAGTTCTATATAAGGCCGGAATTTCTTAATGGCCATCACTACGGCCAAGCACTCTCTCTCGGTAACCGAGTAGTTCTTCTGTGCACTGGTCAATTTGTGAGAGAAGAAGGCTACTGGATGTTCGCCGTCGTTTTCGTCCTTCTGGAACAGAACTGCTCCCAAACCTATGTCTGATGCATCGCATTGGACATAAAAGTGCCTGTTGAAATCGGGATGCATAAGCACTGGTGCTGTTGTGAGGGCGGACTTTAGCTTGTCGAAGGCTTCCTTAGCTTCGTCCGGAAAGTTGAAACCTTTTCCTTTCTTAAGGGTGTTAAAAATAGGTGTTGATATGGTAGCGTAGTCGGGGATGAAGCGCCTATACCAACCCGTAGCTCCCATGAAGCTTCGGACCTGTTTGGCGGTTTTCGGGTAGGTATATTTCAAAATCGTATCGATTTTATCTGGGTCAGGTTTTAACTTCCCTCCTCCTACTATATACCCTA